TTTTTTTTCAAATTATTTGAAGTCAACTCAAAGATTAAAACTTGGGAAAAGAGAGGCCAAGTGGGATCACATCCCACTATAGATTATTTTACTTCCTTGAATTAAAGCCAAAAATTAGAATAAGGAAAAAGAAAAGGAGATGAATTAATATGGGTAATGCGCCCTTCAAAAAAGTGTTCAATAATTGCAAATGCAACAACATTGGGATTCCAAGATGCTTTTTGTAAATTCTATGTCCTTTTTTTTCCCAAAAATTAAAAAATAAAGAAATTTGTAGTGAGAGAAGAAAGACAAAAGGACGACCCTACTCCTAAAATACTCAATTGGAATCCACGTTGCCCACACCTTCCTTTATTTTTAACTTAACAAATACTAATATGTTTTCAAATTGAGAACGTAATAATTTATAATTTAAAGTTTAGAATAATGTAGCATTGTATCTATTGTAAATTTTTTTATTAAGATTTAATAAGATTTCTTATGTGCATGTCTATAAATTATGAGGGATCAGATGTGTTTATAAATTAACAAATAAATCGTTATATTATAAAAATCGAAACTAAACATTATAAATTAAAGTTAAATTACTAACTTCACCATTTTCCTTCCTTCTTTCTTCGCATCTTGAAATGAGAATGGAATGAAATTGGATCTCTGTTGCTGTACTTTCTTCTAATCTACATAGATTCTAAAACATGGTTGGCGCTCATCACAAAGAGATACAACAATTTTTCCATCAAAATCTGTGCATCAGAGTTAGAGAATGAGAGAATAATTTTCATTCTCTTTGATGTTGACGAAAGATAAAAGAGAAAGAGAGTGCTTTATATATATCTAAAAGTGGTGAATTTTGGACCCCAAAGCCCTCAAAAGAAGGACTCGTCATCAATTCTTAAAAGGAGCTACGAGTTTAAACTTGTTCACAAAATGGGACAGGACAAACCAAACCAACAAAAGGAAAAAAAAAAGCCACAAAAAAGTAGCCGCATTTTCATGCCCCACTGTCTTCGTGTCTTTTCCGCTAAATTAATTAAATTATATTACTTTTTTTCTCGCATTGCTGTTCATCAAAGTGGCTGTAGTTTAGAGGTGAGAATTCCACGTTGTGGCCGTGGAGACCTGGGCTCGAATCCCAGCAGCCACATCCTTTTTCCATTTCTTTTTCTTTTTTTCTGCAGAATTTTTCATTATTTAACATGTACGCCCTTTTGTTTGAAGTCATTTCTGGTAATTCCCCATAATATTTATCTTAACTCTACAATCTAGATTTTTTTCCTTTTCTTTTCACTTTTCATTTTTCAAATTCTACTTTTTACTGTACTGAAAAAAGAAATAATGGTGTTATATAAGATATCAAATAATAATAATGATGATAGATGATGATGATGGTGGTGGTGTTATATAAAGATTGAAAATTGTTAAATTCTAAAGTGGCATAGGTTATTGAAAAATGTGGCTATCCTGTTTGGTAACGTTCACATTTCATGTTTCTGCTTCCTCTTTTTTAATAAAGAAAAATAGGATTACATGGCTCCAACATCTATGGATACAAGAATGATAAAACAATAATTTATTTACGTCGGAACAAATTGGAAATGGGAATAAAAACAAAAAACTTGTTTTTTTTTTCCAAATTTCTATACAATTTTGAGAATGTGTCTAAAAAATGAAAAACAAAAAACATAAATAGTTACCAAATCATGCTTAGATTCCTTAAGAGAAACGAGAAATAAGAAATAGAAATGTTACCAAATGGACATTAAATTAACCGTTTTGTTGTTTTAATATCAGTTATGTTATCTTTTTTCAAAATATATATATATATATATATATATATATAAATTTCTTTGATATATATATATCAAAGAAAACCAATTTAATATTAGTTAAAAAGGGCAAATGTGAAAATATCCATGCATTGGGGGCAGTTTTGGGAATGACATGACCTGATAGGCACCTTTGAAAATTTCCCGCCAAACGTCTAATGGAGGGGCTGGGCTTGACGGGCTCTATTGCAATTCATATACACAGGCCTATTCTGTTATGGGCCATAACTTGGTTATGAGCCCAATAACTTCTTAGCCCGTTTTCAACAATATCACATTTCAAAAACAAAATACCGAAAAAGTCCTCCTTCGTGCAATCAAAAGAAAATACGACCCATTTTCAAGAAAAGAAAAACAATTGGAGGTAGATATTGAGGTCAATACGAGATGACAGCTCAATTTGAGTATAGTTCAGCCATATTTAATTTATTATCATCTCAAAGTCAATTATTTAATCTTCACTCCCGCGTGTTGAATTAAGAAAACATAATTATAGCTTTTTATTTTTTCTTCTTTTTGAAACTAAGACATGGAGTAAATTTGAAAGTTTAAAAATGAAAATGAGATTTAAATTTACTTTTTAAAATATAAAATCACTTTTATATTTTTACAAAGATAACGCATTGTATAGTTTTCTAAAGTATATGTCGTGTAAAATATTATGGTTAGTTTGTTGTTTTTATATTATCTATTTTATTATTTTTATAAACTAAGAAATGCTCTATTTTAAATAAAATGTCATATTTTATAACGGAATTAGTACATGTCTATTTAGAAATCATAATTACGTAAAAGGATTGAAAAATAGATAGTACCCATTACACAAATTACTACTATATCTTTTTAAGGATTTATCTCAATATTAAATAATTATTAAAATCTAGAATTGGTAAATTGAGAGGTCAGATCACTTAACTAATGATACTTTCTAAAATAAAATAAAAAAAAAATCTCAAAACCCCAAAAAACCATCCATTTTCGAAACCTACCCCTTTCCTCTTCCGCCAACCGTCCGTTTTTCTTCCTCCGACCCTTCGTTCTTCTTCTTCGACCGTTCGTTGTTTCTTTCCTCTCCGGCCGGCTTCGTTTTTCTCTATCGCAAGAGCCTTTCGTTTGCGTTTATCCCCTTCGAAAGGAGATTTCCGTCTGTTCTTCTTCTCCGATCATTTCTGCCTGCCTTCGTCTCCGGCCAATATCTGTCTGCCTTCATCTCCAACTGCCTCCATTTCTCCCAATCGCCAGAGCAGTTCATCTCTCGATTGAAAGGTTTGCATTCCAACGGTTGTTTTCAATTTCTGATTTCGTGTGAAATATTTTATATATGAGGATATATATTATAGTGATTTGATTATGATATATCTTATAACTCAACTCGTATATATGCGGATATGCGGATATATACTATAATGATTTTGCATGTATATATTTTTTAATATGTAGATATATGTTTATTCAGACTTCAAAAGATGTTTCTGTGATTTTGAATTGTCTTTGAAGATTGAGCACCTGGGGTGAATTAAGGGAAAATCAATAAGTAAATTAAGATTTTGAAGCAATGAATTAAGAGATTTGTGTTGAAAATTAGTACGTGACCTTCAATAATTAAATAATTATGATAATAATTTATGGAATTAAATCTTTTGTATTTTTATACAAATAACTATAATAAATGTAAATAAATAAAATCCTACCTACAGAAATCTAAAAATATAAAATTAGAAAAATCTATACATACGTGTAAATAAGTTTCTAAAACAACTCTATCTCTTTTATAAATTCGTAAGAGA